TCCTGCAGCCCCTCAGGAACCTGGCCTTCAAGCCACACACCATGCAGGTGAGGGCACGGAGCTCACATCCACTTCAGCTCATCCTTGGATCTTGCCTGTGTCTGCTGGATCCTCTTTCTCAACAGCAATGCTCCAACTCACTGGTTGAGCTGTGAAACACTGGGGGGAATTATTTCAGTGCTGTTGGGGTTAATTAGCACACTACCAGGCTCTGGCCTGGTATCTTTTCAAGGCACCTCTCCATCCTGAGCAGGATGAAGCTTTAAATACCTTTGCTGATATTTGGGTGAGCAAGGCTGGGAGCAGCTGGCAGCTCCCACTATGCTGACTTGCCTACTCAGAGAGCTCTGGCTCCTTGATCAGGGGGAGAGAGCTGCTGCTCTGCTATTCCTGGCTCCCCAAGGTGGAAGGGAACACGCTGGTATGCACCAGGGTGCATCAGCAATGCACTGCAGGATGTCTGGAGAGTGCACATGCAAGTCTTAACAATACTGACAGTTCTAAGAGTGGATTTTCAAAGGTGAATTTGAAAATCTGCATCTGTGTCACCTGCTTGACCTCTGCTCTCAGATGCTTCTTGTTCCCCAGTGTGAACAGAGACCCAGTGAGTGACTGCTACAGGACAGAGCTGATTCCCAGATCCATTTGTGACTGCTTTCCTCTTTCCCTCCTCAGCACTCCTTTCTGCCCACGATGCCCGAGGACATCGTGGCTCAGGCAAGGACCTGGGAGGAAATACGTGATCTGCGCTGGTATGGTGAGTGCTGCTGGCTGGCTGGGGAAGGAATTCCTTGAGTTTGGAGAGTGAAACTGTTCCAAATGTGAGGACAAACATACTCCTCAGTATGAGTTATCCGTGGTAAATCCAGATTTGTAGACAGTTTGTGTGGGTGATGCACCAAAGGACACCCAGTGCTGTTTAGTCTTCAGCCTGCTGCCGTCCACAGAGCATGAGAGGGCACAAAGGCAACACGAACAGGGTGTGAGAGGAGAACTCTGCCATCTTACTGGACAGCTTTGTCTCTGCTTCCCACAGCTGGACCTTCCTGCAGCAGGGAATGGGGGGTGAGACCATTCCTGCCCTCAGCAGTAGAATCTGTCCAGCTTTGATTCCTTGTTTCTCAAGGAGAAGCAACACTGAAAAATTCCTTGGCTTCCTGCATGGGCCTGTCAGTCCTTTGTGCTTTGGGATGGTCAGGGCTTTTGATTAAATCTTGAAGCATATTTCCTGCTCCAGGATGATGGTCCATAGGAAGGGGCTGTATAAATCTGTCTGAGAATACTGTCCTGTTTGTTTCTCTCTTCACAGAATGTGCCAATGGCCACCCCTGCACTGTGGGAGAGGTAAGAATTTGGGACTGGTGGGTATTTAAGCAGATAAAGTTTTCAGCAACAAACTGTTTTATTTTATTTGCTGTTTTTAATTTTCTGATGCACAGAGTTCTACTTCTAAACTCAATATTATTGATCATTTTGTCATTGTAATGTAAAATTTAGCATACCCCCAGCATTTATACCACAGATTGGGAAACATCAGGCAGAGGCCCAGTTTGTAGCAGGGTTTGAATTAACCATTTAGAGGCTGGATTTTTGTTTCATTCCCTTTCTCTGCTAGAGAAGCTGTTGCTCTGGAATTCAGTGTTCTCCTGTTGCTTTTCCCAGTGTGGGCGCCCCATGGAAAAGAGCCGCTGTCCCGAATGCCACGTCCCCATTGGAGGCAGAAACCACAAGCCCGTGGAGGGCTTCCGTCTGTCCAGGTGGGCTTTGCTGCATGGCCTTTGCAGGGCTAAATAATGTGGGACTTGCCTGTGGTGCCCTCACAGGCCAGAGGTACCAACCACTTCATGCTGCTCTCTGGAAGGTGTAAGAAAGAGATGTCCAAGCAAGAGTAATCAGGCAGCAAAACCAAAGAAATTTGCTCTTCTGTGCACAAAACTGACTGGAAGCCTTCACTCCCCTGTGGCACTTTGAATTGGCAGCTTTTATGGTGCTCAAAGACATTATGGGTCAAAAAGGCATTGCTGGGTATCAGAGATGTCTTGTGTGGTTTTTGTCTAGGTAAAAAAAAACATATATGCACTGTCCTACAGGAATCGTCCAGACAGAACTCAAACTGGCCACATCCTTGCAGATATTGAGCACAGAAGGACACTGGGAATATCTGACAGGGGCATGTCCTCCACGGTCTTTGTGCTGCTCCGTTTGCTCACTCACCTGTCCATGCTGCTGGGAGCCTCCAGAGACCCTCAGGTATCTTCCAGAAATGCTTCTAAGTGATCACACAAATGTAGGGGAACCTTTGTATGCTGCTGGTCCTTTTCATCATACTGCCAAGTGACCAGGGCAGTCTGTCAGGATGCAAGACCCAAATTCCCTTGGGTCTTTGGGGATTTTGGTTAATTCCTGCACTTCCATGCAGGCCCATCCACCCAGCCTGCCTTGATGGGCGCAGGTGGCAGGAATCCCACAGGTGGGGGTGCCTGGCACGACAGAGCTCTGTGTGCTTTATGCTTCCTTGGATGTTTTTGGCTGTGCTCAGCTCTTGCCTTTGTCGTCTTTAGTCGCTGGGAAGGATGATCAAGCCAACAGTGAATGATGTGATGAGTTTCCTGAAGCAGCATATTCAGGAGGACTTGGCACAGCTGACCAGGAGTTTGGGGAAGAGTGTGGATGACACTATCAACATACTGCACCTGGTGCTCAGCAGCTTCCTGCAGGCACCCCAGCAGCAGCAAGACCATGGTAAGAAAAGCCACCTGCCCTGTCACACCTAGGGTTGTGGTTGAAAAGCTGTGGCCATGCAGCCACCTTGCTGATAAACCTCTTCACCCCTAAACATCAGCAGCTGAGCTGAAGAGCAAAATAGAG